AGTCAGGATGGCCGAGTGGTCTAAGGCGCCAGACTCAAGTTCTGGTCCTCGAAAGAGGGCGTGGGTTCAAATCCCACTTCTGACAACTTATTGCATTGATTTTGCCATTATTTGCTTTCACAAACACTGAAAATGTCCTAATCATTTTTTTTTTCTTTTTTGGTAAATTCCTTTCATTTATTTGAACTAAAAAACATATAGATAGAGAATTAAACAACAACTACATGAAATGAAGGCCAGAATATAGGCCTGAAAACAGGGTAAAGTACAATAGTAAGAGGGGCAAAGAGTGACATGGGTTTATCCTCTAGAAAATTTTGAAGAGAGATGACTTTCCGGTTTTGTGATTTCCCAGCCAGTGCTGAATATGGACTCCAATGGCATCCAGGTACATGCTGCTCCTGCCATGGAAACCCACCACCTTCCCGTCCGTCAAGGCTGAAGTGAAATATGTCCCAATTTCCTCACCAAATGGACCATATGTACCCCTGCTTGTATAAAATGTCAATGACCTTACAACTGTTATATTCTCTTCTTTTATGCAACCATAATACCCAGATATGCGAGTAAGCATTTCATGAGGATAGTTTAGTTTCACCTGCAAGTATAGAATGAAGATAAATGTCAAATGCTAGCAGAATAAGCAAATTGCTTGGAAATTATAGTTGATAAAAGGATCTTTTACCCGATGTGTTGTAGTTCCTGAATGACCTCCATGTTTTACAGACCACAGAGATTGCCCATTTCGATCATACTCAATCTGTATTGAGCAGATAGCTTCTGTTTTAGTAACAAATATTTGCTTGATCCCAGAGAAAACTCCATCATCCCATGATTTCCCTCCATCCCCACCCCAAGGACCAGGTCCACATGGTAGAGGTTCTTTCACCACTCCAACGGGTACCTTGAAAAAGTTCACAATAAAAACTTTCTTATTGGAGCAAAATGTTGAATTTCAATGGAAATTCAGATTATCTAGTTATGTAATTACCTCTTCAGCTGTTTCTCTCTTTGCTAGCACCAGTTTATTAGACCAGGGAGAGTATTCTATTTCAGCTAATGGTCTTTGATTTTGAATGATGGCACGGGGAAGTGGTGGCTTTGGAGGCGGCACTTTCCCTTCAATGACATGGACACCAATCGCATCCAGGAACAAACCCTCTCTACCATGGAAGCCGATAATCTTCCCTTCATTCATTTGGTTGGTAAAGGAGGGTCCTTGTTCTTCTCCAAATGGCCCATGCTTCCCTTTGTTAGTGTAGAAAGTAAGGGACTTAATAATGTTAGGCCCCATGTACATCAAAGGACCATATGTTCCCCATATGTGTGTCAAGATTTCTGATGGATAATCAAAGATTATCTGCAGAAAAAGCAGCGAGTGCAAAGCAAACAGTTAGTAAGAAAAGTTCTCTCTCTAGAAAACTAGCACTCCCATGTATTTGGTAAGAAGGATGCAGCTTGGTTCACCTTATCATTTTTGAATCCTCCTGTCCCTCCATGTTTGCTGCCCCATACGGCTTGTCCATCACAATCATAGCAAACCTTCATCCATACAATTCCAACATTGCGTGACAGATTGATCTGTCTTATGCCAGTATAGGTTCCATCATCAAAAGCGTTCCCACCTGTGCCACCCCATGGTCCTAATCTTATGGTACCTTCAACTGTACAACCCAATGATCCCAATCTTGTGATACCTTCTAGCTTTGAGGGTAACTCATCAAAGCTTGTGCTACCTTCTAGCTTTGAGGGTAACTCATCAATCTTAGGCTTCCAAACCTGAAATGATATGGAAATTATTCTTCTAGTCATTTAAACAAACAGGAGAAGAACTTGATAGAGATCTCTCACCTTCTCTTTAGTTTCCTCATCACTTGAGTTGTCAGAGCTTGAAGAAGAATGTTGCCTATAAAAAAGGCTTGGTTTGGGATTGCCATATGCATCTTTCCGGCTTGGTTTGGGATTGCCAGATGCATCTTTCAGACTTAGCTTGGGACTGCCAAATGCATCTTTCAGACTTGGCTTGGGATTGCCAAATGTATCTTTCTGTTTTACAGCAAGAAATATGTCATAGTCTTGGCCCACTCTCCCTTGAATCACCGAGTACCCAACATTGTCAGTTCCGGAGGCCATAAAACTGCGGCTATGAACAAGTGACCCATCTTCGTTTCTCCAGGATGCAACACCAACAGGTACAGGCATCTTCCCGTCTTGCTCGAAACTCTGGGAACATTATCCCGATCAACATATCAATATTTAAGAATTTTGAGCTATATATAACCAAATAATGATTCATTAAAAACCTTACCATCTTTCCAGCAGCGAAGAAAGACCCAGCAAAGGTAGATTGCTGCACTAACTGGGAGAGATTATCTGAATTTATGAGAAGGAAAAGGCAGAGACACTGAACTTCTGACTTGGAATTTTATGACATAGTTTTCGAACTTTTGAGGAAAGAAGCTAATTCTGCTCTCCACTATGAAGGGAAACAATTAAAAGGAATAGAATCAGATCCATATCCGCCAGAGAACTTTCTCCTGACAAGGCCCTGTACTTTGCTAAGAAAAGAATGTTGAAAAGACTTGTCACGTTAACCATTTCTCAAGAAATTGAGTTTACGATGGGCGCCAGCAATCAGTTCAGGCCTTTATTCTGATTTAGGAATATTTAGTTCTGCTGATATGGGGAATCATGGATTTCTCAGCAAAGAGCACTAAAATTTTTAATTCCCTATGTCAATCATGGAAAAAAAGTTTCCAGCTTTTATGACTTTTCTTTTCCGTGAGATGCAAACAGAATCTTCATACACGGTTCTGAGAATTATACCCAGAGATTCTTCTTTCCAGTGGCTGTCAGGTCGGCTATTTATCTTTCCAGGCAATGAAATATCCATTTGATGTTTTCATCAACTAAAGAAAAAGACGCATTTTCCTGTACTTTGTGGCTATCACTTGATTCTTGTCAACTTGTTAAAAAAAACTTTTCAAAATTTAACCTTGTAAAGGCTGCTCCAGGGAGGGGGAGCACTGTTGATAGTGCGTGCTAGATCCCTCTTTTTTTTCTTTTTTTTTTTGGCGCAGTGACTAGATGCTCTACCATCTTATGACAAACTTATCTGACAGCTGAAGTGCTAAAGTGGAGCTGGAATCTTACTATCCTCACAAAGCTGGCTCTCACCTTACCCGAAATTCCAAAGCAGATAAAGGTGAAAAAAAAATGTTCCAGGAACAAATGCAAAAGGAAATGCATTCTTCATCAGACGAACAAGACACAAACATGGGAAACACTACAGAAGAGATTCTTCTGGTTGCCAATTAATAACCTCAATTTAGGTGGGACATTATCAGCTCATAGAGCAAAGGACGAGATGGGGTATGAGAAGAAGAAAGCAAATATTCAAGAAAAAATTCATCCATAAAACTTCACCAGATTACTTCAACAATTACCTATTGGTTTTAGGTTGGATGTTTACATAACTGAAGCTTGTGGGGATTCCAAATGCAGGCAGCACTAGCTCTGGATATTTCTCTCCTAGAACATCAATCATTAGGGCTTGAATTAAGTAGAAGACTGTATTATTGTGTATATAAATTGAAATCTCCATAACTTCATTGTGGACAACATGCCAACTGGGTTTTCAGCTTATTGCCTCTTGAAATTCTGACACAGATCAGAGAAAAATTTTAAGACTGATTCAATGAAAAACCCAAGAGAGTCATCCTTAGTGTCTCTCTTCACCTGTATCCCTGTATGTTCTCCCACAAAAGAAGATTATTCCTAGCATCCAGAAAGCTTACGGGCTTTCCTAGAAGATGATCCAAGCAAACAATTTTTGGATTTTTCATATTTACTTTATCAATAATCACCACAAGAACAGTGGCCATTCTTAAAATGGTGAAAGCTCTTAGTGTCAGTCAGAAATATTTCACACCCATATGTCATAGAAAGGTATTTAGCAGTTTTATGGCAATTTCCACACATTCTCATGTTTTTCACAATTCTGATTCTCTTAGGTACAGAAGGTGAGCCAATGAGAGCAAACGCTAATGCAAGTTTTTCACCATGGACACCACCAATTTCTTCCTTCTCTTCTTCCTCACTGGAAAACCCATCATGATAATCATTTATTTTCAAATTTTTAGCTGTAGTTTGCACCAAGAATAAAGAACATCTGGACAAGGTCTAGACTGATTACCCGTCAAAATAGCTGCATTGTGTTTCCTACTTCAATCCAGCTCTGCCCAAGGGCCCTCACTTTAGAAGTGTCCTCCAATTTCCCACAAAATGCATATATCTGCAACATTAATCTTTGAATTAAAATATTCCCTGGTCCCAAGTTGAGCAAATGTTCCCCAGCAAGGACTGTCAACCCAATATTCCCACGCATCCTAGATGCAGTTAGCAAGGAAGCCCAAATGGAGGAGTCAGGTTCTGTGGGGGCATCTTCAATAAACTTGATTGCTTCTCCAAACCTACCAGAGTGGCCATATAGATCTATCATTGCTGAATAATGTTCTGCTGATGGTATAATTCCATAGTTGTTAGTGATGCTTGAGAAAACTTGTTCTCCCTCATCCACCATTCCAATAATACCATGTGCAAGGATAATACTGGAGAAAGTAGCTCTGTTTGGCTTAAGTCCCGACTCTGTCATCTGACTAACAAGACAAAGAGCAGCATCAGAAAAACCATGTAAAACATAACCTGCAATTATTGAGTTCCAGTATCTTAGGTTGACATTCTGTCAAATATTGTTCTTGAAGTGCATATTACCTGATTTGGCGTCAGTGTCTATTAGTGAATTTGTAACAGGTAAAGTGTCTAGTTTTCTGCGCAACACACAACAATGGATCTCTTTCACCTTCTTAGCTGCAACTAGATCTGTGTAAGATCAGTTAAGAAAAACTGATTCAAACCAACATAAAACTCGAGAAAAAACCTTGAGAAACATGTGAAAGATGAAGGAAATGACATAAAGTGGGTTAGAGATGATGCTCAGATTTTTCTCATTGGTTTTCCATATGTATTACATCAGTTTCTGGTGTATTTTTTATACAAAACACTACCAGCACATTGCAATGTTCACCTACAATTAAATAATAATATAAACAGCATAAAGCAAGGGCATAGCGCTGCATACAATTAATGCCAGCCTACATTTTCAGGTGAACATTTAACATGAAAGATACATAGATATTACATTGGATAATCAACAAAGAAACTTCTCAGCAACTTAATTGAACCTGAACAGAACATGAACAGTATACGTGAACAGTAACTGGTTGCATGGTTTCATTGATCTTCGACAATCTGCACAAGCAGGCAAGACACTCAATATAGTTACTGAATTTGGGCTAAAGGAGAATGACTGGATTTGTCGTAAAATACCTAATACCGTGTCTTTTTCTCCAAGTTGCACATAACCAGCAATAAGGGAGTTCCAAGATGCTGCATTTTGCTTAATTTTCCCATCCTTTTCCATCTGTTGGAAGAGATTTATGGCTTGATCCTCATCCCCTTTTTTTATGTACCCATAGATCATCGCATTCCACATGATGACATCAGGTTTTACATTTGAATCTTGCATTTTCATGAAGAGCTCATAGGCCTTACCACAGTACCCTGCTTGGGAATATCCTCCAATCATTGAATTCCAAGTAAAAACATCTTTGCCTGCCTTCGATTCTGTCAAAAACTTTCCTAGCAGCTTCTGTTTCCCTGTACCTAGAATACGTGCCAATGAGGGAATTCCCAACCGCCACTTCATCAAAGATACCCATCTTAACAGCAACAGAACGAATTTCCAACCAGTTTTTAATCCTCTCGAGGATGTGCAAGCAGAAATTGCACTCACAATTGTAACATCATTTGCAGTCACCCCTTCCAAAAGCATCTCTTTAAATAAATCCAATGCTTGATCCGTCCTACCATTTTGTGCAAGCCCTGAGATCATAGAAGTTCAAGTAAAGACATCAGGAGTTATTCCAAAACTCTCCATCTCCTTCATCAACCCCATTGCAACATCACATTGCCCTAACTGATTATAACTTCCAACCAATATATTCCATGAAACCACACTCAGTTCAGTTCCTTCTCACATTGTATTAAACAATTTATGAGCCTCCTTATAGTCACCCTTTTGACAATACCCAAGACCATCGTGTTCCATTACTACCGTATCTCTCTCATCCATACCATCAAAAAACCTCCTCGCTAATCCCAGTTTCCCACACTTTGCATAAACAGATAAAATTGAATTACAAACACGAGTATAACAGACCATCCCCAATCTAATCACCAAAGAATGTATCAGTTTCCCACTCACAACATCCCCACAATTAGCACAAGCTTCCAAAATCTTCGGAAATAGAAAATCGTCAGGCACCATCCCATCATTCATCATAAAAAAGAAAAGCTCCACAACTTCCCTCCAACTCTGCTCTCTCGAACATGCACCAATCATCGCCGACCACGTGTACAAATTTCTCTCCCGCATTTTATCAACCAAATCAATTCGGGAATGAAGCTGTCGACCCAAGTCGACAGAACCGTAATCAATGCAAGACTGAAGTAAATTGCTGAAGGTGTTGGCTCTTACCTTGGACCCAGTTTTGGAAATGGCGTCAAGAGTTGTTATACACTCGCTAAGGCGCCCCCTTTTCTGCCAAGGTAAGTCAAATGGGTGCCTGTGGTTTTTTGGGTTGGGATTTTTGCTGTAACTGAGCGCTGCTATCGTGGGTTTCTCCAAGAATTCAGACACAGATTCTTGTTTAGGTGGGATTATTACAAGACGTCTGGATGCTGACGATGGTATCATCAGATTCTCCATGTTTGGAAGGTTCTGGAGTAACTGTCTTAACGGATTGAACGAAAAATTCCAGTGGCTGGAGCGGAAGACGGACTCTGGGTAGCACACTCCGCAGCCGACTAATATCCCATTTGCGGCACCATCCAATCGCGTTCAGGCACATGGACATCTGGACCCCACGTCAGAAGGCCGGAAAAAAAATTTATACAAAGTAGTGATTGGGCCCAGGGGGAGAGTGCACTGCCCCATAACGAGGTTTAGGCCCATGTTACCCGATCCACGACCCATTATGCAATTTTTATCACATCACACCCATTTTGCAATTTTTATGAAAAAATGAAAATTTTGACCGTTGGGTTTTCAAATTTTTAAATCGACGAAATTGGGTAAATTGGACAGGCTAATTTGCGCTGGTCAACTTCAGGTCCAAAATTTGAGGCATTTGGATATTGTGCTGGGCTGGGTTGGCGGGTTCTCCAAACTTACATTTTTTTTTTCTAATTTTTGAATTACGTAGTACATAATTTATTTTTGTATTAATTTTTTAATATTTAATAATTATATTAGGTTATGATAAATTCATAATCTAATCACGTTAAGTTTAAGAAAATTTTTTCAACATCTATTTCTTCATTTATAAGATTTGAATTTAAAATTTTATTTTAAAAAAATCAATTTTTTTTTACTTAAATCAACGTATCATTGATTTACGTAATACATAATAATAAAGAGTAAAACCCTCTATTTTTAACTCGTGGAATGAATCAAATTGACCTTCCAACTTAGCACGTATCTTGCTAGTAGTAATTTTTAAAGCCTGTAAGTCCAGATCATTGCTTGGACGAAATTAATTATGAACAAGTTACAATATGCTAGGATAGAGTAAGGACTTAGGGGCTCGAATCTGATTAGATATATATTTATAGATATCGTTAATCCACGAGATCTAAAATTTGGGTGCAAACAATCTAGCACTTCATTGACTTGATCAAGGACGCCCCTCCTCAATGCCCATGCATTATCATATTAATAATACTCCATAATCATGTGGGGTAAATAGAATCATAGTTTTTTTTTTTTTTTGTAACATCGATCAATAAAATGAATAGAATCATAGTTAATTTGATTTTTACGTGATCCAAACACCTTTGAATATATTTTGTAATTACTCCAATTAGAAGATGCATTGACTAATCAAGAAGGAAAGCAGGTGTAAACGGGCAAATATTTCTCCAACATGCGTCTAATTGCTTGCACCGACGTAAACGGAACGGAGATTTAGAGGCACACAATCTCATGGTCCTATCAAGAGCAGAGAAACAAACGCGCTAGAACGGTGTCCTATTCC